ATATATATATATATATATATATATATATATATATATATATATATATATATAGATATATACATATACATACTTATATATATATATTACATATATATATATATATATAATTTAACCTTCTGATGTCTATTGTGTGAATTTTCGTACAATGTCTGGTGTGTTCAATACTGAATATGTGTACAAGGTTTGTTGTGTACATGTAGATGAGATTTGACTTTTCAAGGGGGGGGGTGGGGGGGTCCATGGCAGCGAGAACAAATCATTTTACATTGGGACATTCAGAGATATGAAAATTAGTGTTGGTATAAAATTGGACATTCAGAAATATGAACATTAGTGTTGGTATAATTTGGGACATTCAGAATTAGAAAAATTAGTGTTAGTATAAATTTGGACATTCAGAAATATAAAAAAATAGTGTTAGTATAAATTTGGACATTCAGAAATAAGAAAATTAGTGTTGGTATAAATTTGGACATTCAGAAATATGAAAATTATTGTTAGCATAAATTGGGACATTCGGGAATATGAAAAGTAATGTTGGTATAAATTTGGACATTCTGGAATATGAAAATTAGTGTCATTATAAATTGGGACATTCAGAAATTTGAAAATTAGTTTTGGTATAAATTGGGACATTCAGAAATATGAAAATTAGTTTTGGTATAGATTGAGACATTCAGAAATATGAAAATTAGAGTTAGTATATAAATTGGGACATTCATAAATATGAAAATTAGTGTTAGTATATAAATTGGGACATTCATAAATATGAAAATTAGTGTTAGTATATAAATTGGGACATTCAGAAATATGAAAATTAGTGTTGGTATTAATTGGGACGTTCAGAAATAGAAAAAAATAGTATTAGTTTAATTTTAAACATTTAGAAATATGAAAATTAGTGTTAATATAAATGTTGACATTCAGAAATATGAAAATTATAGTTTTTATAAATGGGGACATTCAGAGATATGAATATTAGTGTTGGTATAAATTGAGACATTCAGAAATATGAAAATTGGTGTTAGTATAAATTGGGACATTGAGAAATGTGACAATTAGTCTTAGTATAAATTGGGACATTCGGGAATATGAAAATTAGTGTTCGTATAAATTGGGACTTTCAGAAATACGAAAATTAGTGTTGTATAAATTGGGACATTCGGGAATATGAAAATTAGTGTTGGTATAAATTGGGACATTCAGAAATATGAAAATTAGTGTTGGTATAAATTGGGACATTTAGAAATATGAAAATTAGTGTTGGTATAAATTGGGACATTCAGGAATATGAAAATTAGGTTTGGTATAAATTTTAACATTAAGGCGCATAAAGATGATCGTACTGAATTTTCAGCTGACGTATTGTTTGTCAGACCTGGCACCAAAAGCGATTTTCAAGGACTAACCGAAGACCATCAAAATAATGATAAAAGTCAAACCAAAGGTTGGCGCGATGAAGACCATCAAAATAATGATAAAAGTCAAACCAAAGGTTGGCACGATGAAGACCATCAAAATAATGATAAAAGTCAAACCAAAGGTTGGCACGATGAAGACCATCAAAATAATGATAAAAGTCAAACCAAAGGTTGGCACGATGAAGACCATCAAAATAATGATAAAAGTCAAACCAAAGGTTGGCACGATGAAGACCATCACAATAATGATAAAAGTCAAACCAAAGGTTGGCACGATGAAGACCGGCAAAATTATGATAAAAGTCAAACCAAAGGTTGGCACGATGAAGACCATCAAAATAATGATAAAAGTCAAACCAAAGGTTGGCACGATGAAGACCGGCAAAATTATGATAATAGTCAAAGTAAATGTTGGCACGATGTATGAGCTTGAAGTCATAACTGGGGAATATAACCACAATGTTGAGGACCATTTATTTGCAGTACATTACCTTTAACCCTGTTAAAGGATAAATCCAGATTAAGCTGCGTTACACTTAAATCGATCACTTTCTACGTCTCATGTTACACTGATGAACATACTAAAATGATGTGAATATTATTTAATCCATGGCTTCACTCTTATTAATATTGTCGTGATTTTTGTCTTTTTCTCTCGCTGTATATTTCTTTCTTTCTTTCTTTCTTTCTTTCTTTCTTTCTTTCTTTCTTTCTTTCTTTCTTTCTTTCTTTCTTTCTTTCTTTCTTTCTTTCTTTCTTTCTTTCTTTCTTTCTTTCTTTCTTTCATTCTTTCTTTCTTTCTTTCTTTCTTTCTTTCTTTCTTTCTTTCTTTCTTTCTTTCTTACTTTCTTTTGTTTGTTTGTTTGTTTTCTTTCTTTTCTTTTCTTTCTTTTCTTAAGAAAGAAAGAAAGAATCTTTCTTTCTTTCTTTCTTTCTTTCTTTCTTTCTTTCTTACTTTCTTTTGTTTGTTTGTTTGTTTTCTTTCTTTTCTTTTCTTTCTTTTCTTTTCTTTCTTTCTTTCTTTCTTTCTTTCTTTCTTTCTTTCTTTCTTTCTTTCTTTCTTTCTTTCTTTCTTTCTTTCTTTCTACCTTTTCTATCTCCCTCTATCTCTATTCATCGTTATATCTTGTTAGGGACTTGAATGCATGGTGTGATTGCGTGTTTGTTTGAGATTATGTGTGTTTTTTATCTGTTATTTTTAGTATCTTGTGACGTATTGTGTGGAAAGGGATATGACGTATTATTATTGTAGATGGTTGTGGAGTGTTGTTCTTTGAGTACAGTAATGGCAGTTGAGGAATTAGTTGTTTAATAAAGATATTTCATACAAGAATTATAGTTGTGAACTGTATATAATTAAACCCCCCTAGACAACGAAGAAAACGAACCTATTAAGTAAGAATAAGTTTGTAATACATCTCTCTACTTTTCTATCTCCTTCTCTCTTCCCCCTTTTCTCTCCATATTTCTTCCCTCTCTCCCCAACCTCCATATCTCCATCTCTCACCCTTTACTATCCCTTCCTAACTACTTCTTTGACCTCCATCCACTCTCTCTTCTTTTCTCTTATCTATCACTCAAAAGTCCCCTCCGACCCACTCCTCTCTCTTCCCCTTTCTCTATCTCCCTGTGTGTGTCTCTCTCTCTCTTTCCCTGCCCTATCCAACCTTACATTTCTGTAGTTGTGCGAAACTTTGTCGAACTGTTGTTAGTAATGCAGGTTTAGAAATGTTTGAGAAGCGCTGCTCTCGTGATACGGGACACCTTTTGGTGTACTTTTGTTGAATTAGATAGAGACAATAATGACACCTTTTGGTGTAGTCTAGTTCAATTAGATAGAGACAATAATGACACCTTTCGGTGTAGAAAACAACTTAATCTATCTCTGTTATTAGACACCTTTTGGTGTAGTCTAGTTCAATTAGATAGAGACAATAATGACACCTTTCGGTGTAGTTTTGTTGAATTAGATAGAGACAATAATGACACCTTTTGGTGTAGTTTTGTTGAATTAGATAGAGACAATAATGACACCTTTTGGTGTAGTTTTGTTGAATTAGATAGAGACAATAATGACACCTTTTGGTGTAGTCTAGTTGAATTAGATAGAGACAATAATGACACCTTTCGGTGTAGTTTTGTTGAATTAGATAGAGACAATAATGACAACTTTTGGTGTAGTCTTGTTGAATTAGATAGAGACAATAATGACACCTTTTGGTGTAGTCTTGTTAAATTAAATAGAGACAATAATGACAACTTTTGGTGTAGTTTTGTTGAATTAGATAGAGACAATAATGACACCTTTTGGTGTAGTCTTGTTGAATTAGATAGAGACAATAATGACACCTTTTGGTGTAGTCTTGTTGAATTAGATAGAGACAATAATGACACCTTTTGGTGTAGTCTTGTTGAATTAGATAGAGACAATAATGACACCTTTTGGTGTAGTTTTGTTGAATTAGATAGAGAGAATAATGACACCTTTTGGTGTAGTTTTGTTGAATTAGATAGAGACAATAATGACACCCTTTGGTGTAGTTTTGTTGAATTA